CTAGTTTGGGAAAAAGGCTCGGAGGAAAAAAACGTTTAGATAGTTTTGATATTTAAATTTGATAGTTTATAGTAGTCCATTTTGTACAGGTTAATTATTAAAATAATTCATTCATGTGTAAGGCCTATCTAATAATACTACAAAATCATACTAAATTATCATAAATATACATCCGCTATGTTCCTAGTTCCGACGTGCCTCCTCAATCCAAACATTTAGATTGAGGAGCCACCTTTATGTTGGAATTTTACTAGCTAATTAAATTAATAATTTAATTACCTAGTAAAATTCCTCTATGCAGCTTTCTTAAGACTCTCACTCCAACATCTTAACAAATAATGTAATCCTGCGATCCAAAATTTTATTTGATGTAGTCACATGTGCTCCGAGGTCTCCCTAAATTGATTATTGCCAAACTAAAAGCTTCGACCACTTTATTAAAAATGTAGTTGAGTATAATGAAAAGAACAAAACCTCAACTGCTACAGATTTTGAACCAGTTAAGCTTCTAGGCTTGTATCCCTCGTAGGCAGAGGCATATCAAATGCCTACACTTTGTCAATTTTAATTTGGTCCCACTTACGTATTACGTACAAAGCCTCAACCAGGCACTTTAGGAATTAATAATAAAAAAATTGAGAGAATATTGAAAAAGGAAGGAAGGGATTATTCATAGTAATATTTAGGGATGTGTAGACATAACTGAATTATCAAGTGTTACCTGAAACTCCGACGGCTCTAATCTGACAAAAGTAAAGGTTTCAGAGTGGACTTTTGTAAATAGATTTCAAATATTGTTTTAAATCGATACCCTATTTAATTACTGACATAAGACAAGTGGTAGCCCTTATGGCATTAATCTAATCGAATCGAATTCGTCACCAGGCGGTCCGTGCATATCCAAGATTGACGGTGAGGGTTAATTATGATAGACTAGTTGCCAGCCAGTTATTATTGATTTCTTTATATCTCCTATGCGCTTCATACTGACATTGTTTAACGTAGGTAGATACGAGTACAAAGTTTTTCCTTCTGATCGATTTCTTAGGTGCATGTGATGTGAATAGCATATTTTTAATCGATCCAGTTTCTATATATTTTTTTCGTAAACTTAAATAAAAACCAAAAACGAAAAGACTGTGTTTGTGTGACGTTAAAAATTGTTGTTCATCTACAACTTTTCGTAAGTCACCTAACCCAACTCAACTATGCAACATAAATACATTCCTAACTCAAAGATTTAAATATATTATAATTACTAGCTGACCCGGCCACGCGTTGCTGTGGCTAAAGTTTTTGTTATATTACATTATAGTAAACAATCTAAGAGGAACAATAAGAGAACATCAGTCACGGAGTCCACTATGCTTTTTCACACAGATGGTATTTGTAAAAAAATATGGTGATCTCCTTATTTGACTTTCTACTACTATAACCCTTTAGTACAATGAAATTATTTACGAACAAAGACGAAAATGTTGATGTTGGTATACAAATTCACTGGATTGAGATTTGAAGGGGAAGTACATTTAACACAATTAATTAAAATGTTCTTACACTTGATATTAAGCAGAAATCAATAGGTACAAAATAAAAAATTATCAGATTTATTATTTCCATTTAATTTTATAACAAATATAAGTATATTACAGTATAATACAGTAAATAACATGTAACGCTTAAACTCATGAATGAGGTAGGCAAGGCAGACAGTCTTAAACTTTTAAACATTAATATCTATTTTTTTGAATTATAAATACTTTCAATTTCAATTTAATGTAACACCAATCGGTGCACAATGTTTTTGGTTAACCTGTCTTTAGCTAACACAAATAGATTCGACGGTTTCCCAACACGTGAACACGCAACATATAGTTGCCCATGAGAAAAACATGGATTTTCCAAATCTAAACCACAAATGGACATTGTTTGACCTTGAGATTTATTTATAGACATGGCGAAAGCTAAACGAATTGGAAACTGTAGCCTTTTGAAGGGTATGGTAGAATCTGATGGTATCATAGGAATACGTGGCAGCAGGACCACTTTTCCTTTAAACTTCCCAGCCAAAACGGTTGCTTCAAGAATGTTTCCGGTGATCTTTTTGATGACCAAACGCGTACCGTTACATAATTGAGGTGGATTCAAATTACGGAGGAGAAAAAATAGGGGAACCAATCTTTAATCGAAGATTATGTGGTGGCATTCCAGGGATATCTAATGAATTTAAAAATTCAATCGGATAATTTACACTTTCATTTTCATCAACAACAGTATCGATTGATTTAAAAGACATCAGATCGCCTGGTAACAACTGTTGTATCTGGAAGTTAATTTCGTCAACATCAACGTTTTTGGCTGCCAAAATCGCCCGTTGACTAAGCCATTCATGATTCAAATAATTATTCTGTATATCCGGGAAAATACTCTGAATCAATTCATTTTTATCCTGAACAACAGTGCAAAAATTGTCTGGTAGTTTAATGCATTGCGTATTTGGTTGCAGTTCTATTTTACCGTTCCCAATATCTAGTAGTTGTTCGGAAAATATTTGTGCTGATGGATCATTTTGCAATTGTACTCGCATATTTATGGTCAATCGAAGTGTTTCAACACTTCGCCATAAGAATGATTGTTTCAAACATGCATTAATCTCATCCGCGAAAGTAGAGCGAGGTATAACCGGTAAGGTCTGCCGGAAGTCACCAGACAAAAGTAAGATAGCACCACCGAAAACTTTATTATTGCTGTTTAAATCTTGCATAGTTCTGTTTAATGCTTCAAGTGAATATTTGTGTGCCATTGTGCACTCATCCCAAATCTTAATATATATAAATCTCGTGTCACAATGTTTGTCCTCAATGGACTCCTAAACCACTTAACCGATTATAATAAAATTCGCACATCATGTGCAGTTCGATCCAACTTGAGAGATAGGATAGTTTAAATCTCAAATTATAGTCGCAATTTTAATTTATTGCTAATTATTTGTCTGTTATTATTTGACAGTCACAATTATCTGTTAACTCCAAATGCTTCTAACAGATGTCGATACCTTTCGACTGAGTTGAGTAAGTAATCAATAGATGGCGCTGCTATGGTAAATCTACGAACGTGTCATATAAGCTACATTTTAACAGCATAATTACCACGTGTTGTTGACGCTATAAAATTAATTAAATTTATTTTGTAGTGAACGAAATACCGTATAATTCAATTATTTCCACTTTTTAAATTTTTGGTGTTTGTCGATACCTTTCGACTGGGTTGAGTAAGTAATCAATAGATGGCGCTGCAATGGTAAATCTACGAACGTGTCATATAAGCTACATTTTAACAGCATAATTACCACGTGTTGTTGACGCTATAAAATTAATTAAATTTATTTTGTAGTGAACGAAATACCGTATAATTCAATTATTTCCACTTTTTAAATTTTTGGTGTTAGCATAGCCGGCCACGTGTTACTTAGACTGAAGTGTAAATTGAATTCATATTATAAAAGAACAAGAGCAGCAGGAGAACGAGACATAGCCACAGTAGGAGCACAGGAACAATAATTTCAATTTATACATGTAAGTAATATCACATAGTTTTATAAAAGTTAATTAATATATCAATGAGAAAATGGCACAAAGCTCCCCACACTTTTTCAATAATTGTACAAAAAAATTTATATTATTTTTATTTAACCTCCATTGAAAATTATTTTGCACTTATTATTTCAATGTGCTATGATAACATGTTTTTCATTTCCTCTTTCTAATATTTAAACGATTAAATTAATTAATAAATAAATGGGTCACGACGCAAACGTGTTGAAAGAGCTCAGCAATTACCAGAACAAATCGAAACAAGAAATGCAGCTCAAAGAATCAGGACTGCAGAAAGTCGTGCACAAGAATCTCAAGAACAGCGTGACGAACGTCTGCAACAGAATATTACGAGAACAAGAGCGGCATGAGAACGAAACATAGCTACAGTACGAGTACTAGATCGACAAAGGCAACGGATCAGCCGCTCATTAACACGTGCATCATTCGTTCGGCTTGCCTTTGAATATGCACCAGATATTAACTACTCAGCGCATTCAAAAATTGCTATCGCTGGAATGGATAAAGTATGTCAATATTGTCAGGCATTGAAATTTCGGAATAAAGCAGCCGGCATGTGCTGCGCATCAGGAAAAGTTGTGCTGTCACCTCTACCCGCTCCGCCGGAGCCTTTATTATCCCTTCTTACTGGCAATTCAGATGATTCCAAATTATTTTTGCGTAAGATACGCAAATTTAATTCTTGCTTCCAAATGACGTCATTTGGGGCAACTAAAATTTGCGATCGTGCATCCGATGGACGTAATTTTGAAACTACATTCAAAATTCAAGGCCAGGTGTACCATAAAATCGGATTACTGATGCCAATGCCTGATAACAATCCGAAATTTCTTCAAATTTATTTTATGGGCGATTGTGAAGAGCGCGTGACGACTCGGTGCCTGTATAATTTTATTGAACAAGCAGAGGAAAGAGCAATTGTGATATTATTGGAAAAAATTTTAGAAGATCACAATCAACTAATTCAATTGATCAAAAGAGTTTCGCCACGACTGCAAAATGACAATTATCAAATCGTCATAAAAGCCGACAAAGTACCATTAGGTGAACATGCTGGTAGATTCAACGCTCCAACTGTTGATGAGGTTGCTGTTATCATGGTTGGTGATCCAGTTGACAAAAGATCTATAAAAATTACACGGCGAGACAACACTGTCAGTACGATTTCGGATCTACACCGTTCATATGACGCACTACAATATCCATTGATATTTTGGCAAGGACAAGATGAATATCACCTTAATATCAAACAGTATGATCCAAATACCGGTAAATTTGACAATTATCTATTTACTTTCTTACTGTATGTAGAGTAAGAGTTCTATAATAATTTGGGATGAGTGCACAATGGCACACAAATATTCACTTGAAGCATTAAACAGAACTATGCAAGATTTAAACAGCAATAATAAAGTTTTCGGTGGTGCTATCTTACTTTTGTCTGGTGACTTCCGGCAGACCTTACCGGTTATACCTCGCTCTACTTTCGCGGATGAGATTAATGCATGTTTGAAACAATCATTCTTATGGCGAAGTGTTGAAACACTTCGATTGAGCATAAATATGCGAGTACAATTGCAAAATGATCCATCAGCACAAATATTTTCCGAACAACTACTAGATATTGGGAACGGTAAAATAGAACTGCAACCAAATACGCAATGCATTAAACTACCAGACAATTTTTGCACTGTTGTTCAGGATAAAAATGAATTGATTCAGAGTATTTTCCCGGATATACAGAATAATTATTTGAATCATGAATGGCTTAGTCAACGGGCGATTTTGGCAGCCAAAAACGTTGATGTTGACGAAATTAACTTCCAGATACAACAGTTGTTACCAGGCGATCTGATGTCTTTTAAATCAATCGATACTGTTGTTGATGAAAATGAAAGTGTAAATTATCCGATTGAATTTTTAAATTCATTAGATATCCCTGGAATGCCACCACATAATCTTCGATTAAAGATTGGTTCCCCTATTTTTCTCCTCCGTAATTTGAATCCACCTCAATTATGTAACGGTACGCGTTTGGTCATCAAAAAGATCACCGGAAACATTCTTGAAGCAACCGTTTTGGCTGGGAAGTTTAAAGGAAAAGTGGTCCTGCTGCCACGTATTCCTATGATACCATCAGATTCTACCATACCCTTCAAAAGGCTACAGTTTCCAATTCGTTTAGCTTTCGCCATGTCTATAAATAAATCTCAAGGTCAAACAATGTCCATTTGTGGTTTAGATTTGGAAAATCCATGTTTTTCTCATGGGCAACTATATGTTGCGTGTTCACGTGTTGGGAAACCGTCGAATCTATTTGTGTTAGCTAAAGACAGGTTAACCAAAAACATTGTGCACCGATTGGTGTTACATTAAATTGAAATTGAAAGTATTTATAATTCAAAAAAATAGATATTAATGTTTAAAAGTTTAAGACTGTCTGCCTTGCCTACCTCATTCATGAGTTTAAGCGTTACATGTTATTTACTGTATTATACTGTAATATACTTATATTTGTTATAAAATTAAATGGAAATAATAAATCTGATAATTTTTTATTTTGTACCTATTGATTTCTGCTTAATATCAAGTGTAAGAACATTTTAATTAATTGTGTTAAATGTACTTCCCCTTCAAATCTCAATCCAGTGAATTTGTATACCAACATCAACATTTTCGTCTTTGTTCGTAAATAATTTCATTGTACTAAAGGGTTATAGTAGTAGAAAGTCAAATAAGGAGATCACCATATTTTTTTACAAATACCATCTGTGTGAAAAAGCATAGTGGACTCCGTGACTGATGTTCTCTTATTGTTCCTCTTAGATTGTTTACTATAATGTAATATAACAAAAACTTTAGCCACAGCAACGCGTGGCCGGGTCAGCTAGTTATTATAGAACTCTTACTCTACATACAGTAAGAAAGTAAATAGATAATTGTCAAATTTACCGGTATTTGGATCATACTGTTTGATATTAAGGTGATATTCATCTTGTCCTTGCCAAAATATCAATGGATATTGTAGTGCGTCATATGAACGGTGTAGATCCGAAATCGTACTGACAGTGTTGTCTCGCCGTGTAATTTTTATAGATCTTTTGTCAACTGGATCACCAACCATGATAACAGCAACCTCATCAACAGTTGGAGCGTTGAATCTACCAGCATGTTCACCTAATGGTACTTTGTCGGCTTTTATGACGATTTGATAATTGTCATTTTGCAGTCGTGGCGAAACTCTTTTGATCAATTGAATTAGTTGATTGTGATCTTCTAAAATTTTTTCCAATAATATCACAATTGCTCTTTCCTCTGCTTGTTCAATAAAATTATACAGGCACCGAGTCGTCACGCGCTCTTCACAATCGCCCATAAAATAAATTTGAAGAAATTTCGGATTGTTATCAGGCATTGGCATCAGTAATCCGATTTTATGGTACACCTGGCCTTGAATTTTGAATGTAGTTTCAAAATTACGTCCATCGGATGCACGATCGCAAATTTTAGTTGCCCCAAATGACGTCATTTGGAAGCAAGAATTAAATTTGCGTATCTTACGCAAAAATAATTTGGAATCATCTGAATTGCCAGTAAGAAGGGATAATAAAGGCTCCGGCGGAGCGGGTAGAGGTGACAGCACAACTTTTCCTGATGCGCAGCACATGCCAGCTGCTTTATTCCGAAATTTCAATGCCTGACAATATTGACATACTTTATCCATTCCACCGATAGCAATTTTTGAATGCGCTGAGTAGTTAATATCTGGTGCATATTCAAAGGCAAGCCGAACGAATGATGCACGTGTTAATGAGCGGCTGATCCGTTGCCTTTGTCGATCTAGTACTCGTACTGTAGCTATGTTTCGTTCTCATGCCGCTCTTGTTCTCGTAATATTCTGTTGCAGACGTTCGTCACGCTGTTCTTGAGATTCTTGTGCACGACTTTCTGCAGTCCTGATTCTTTGAGCTGCATTTCTTGTTTCGATTTGTTCTGGTAATTGCTGAGCTCTTTCAACACGTTTGCGTCGTGACCCATTTATTTATTAATTAATTTAATCGTTTAAATATTAGGAAGAGGAAATGAAAAACATGTTATCATAGCACATTGAAATAATAAGTGCAAAATAATTTTCAATGGAGGTTAAATAAAAATAATATAAATTTTTTTGTACAATTATTGAAAAAGTGTGGGGAGCTTTGTGCCATTTTCTCATTGATATATTAATTAACTTTTATAAAACTATGTGATATTACTTACATGTATAAATTGAAATTATTGTTCCTGTGCTCCTACTGTGGCTATGTCTCGTTCTCCTGCTGCTCTTGTTCTTTTATAATATGAATTCAATTTACACTTCAGTCTAAGTAACACGTGGCCGGCTATGCTAACACCAAAAATTGAAAAAGTGGAAATAATTGAATTATACGGTATTTCGTTCACTACAAAATAAATTTAATTAATTTTATAGCGTCAACAACACGTGGTAATTATGCTGTTAAAATGTAGCTTATATGACACGTTCGTAGATTTACCATTGCAGCGCCATCTATTGATTACTTACTCAACCCAGTCGAAAGGTATCGACAAACACCAAAAATTTAAAAAGTGGAAATAATTGAATTATACGGTATTTCGTTCACTACAAAATAAATTTAATTAATTTTATAGCGTCAACAACACGTGGTAATTATGCTGTTAAAATGTAGCTTATATGACACGTTCGTAGATTTACCATAGCAGCGCCATCTATTGATTACTTACTCAACTCAGTCGAAAGGTATCGACATCTGTTAGAAGCATTTGGAGTTAACAGATAATTGTGACTGTCAAATAATAACAGACAAATAATTAGCAATAAATTAAAATTGCGACTATAATTTGAGATTTAAACTATCCTATCTCTCAAGTTGGATCGAACTGCACATGATGTGCGAATTTTATTATAATCGGTTAAGTGGTTTAGGAGTCCATTGAGGACAAACATTGTGACACGAGATTTATATATATTAAGATAATCTGCTTCTACGGAGTTAATTATTAGCAATACGTTCGCCAAACGACACCGAGTCCTCTATGAAGTTCATTTCTATAAAGGACAACTTTTAATGAACATTCTGAAGTATAGAAATGATTGCATCATATTGGTACAGTAAATCATTTTCACATTTATCGTTTACTGAATAAAATACACTAACTGTTGAATTCGACATTAACATTTAAACTCTGAATAGTTTTTACTTTTGCAGTTAATAAACAATTTTAGAAAATCTTGACATCTAAAAAGAAGTCTGTTATCATCATATCACATAGTCCACTGCTGGACATAAGACTCTTCTTCGAAAGGACGTTTTGGCCTACTAAACCACGCTGGCCAGACGGGTATATGGCAGCTATAATAAATGAAAACTAGAGCATCATAATATGTAATCATCACAACTTTATATAAAAGTCAAAAATTTATATTTAGCGATCAAATAAAGCTTCATGCCCATGTATGCTATCTTCTTATAGTTCTTTCCGCTATTAAACTTAGTGTAATTTTAATGTAAGCTAAACTTAGTAATTTGCTTGTGGTCGGCGATCGGCGCAATAAGTTTCTTCTATTCACCGGTAACACTCTACAGATCACTGCTTACTCCTTTTTTAGCCATATCCTCTTTCAGGCAGTCCTTCACTTCGTTACAAAATCATTTTAGCTCTACTCTTTTAAGGCAAGCCTGGCAGGCGGCTACCCTCCTTCGAAATCTTTCTTTGTGCTCAGGTCAAGTTCAAGTCAAGTCAAGTCATGTAAAATTTGTAACAAAAGAATGTCAACACAATATTCATGATAAATAACCCTCTGTCTACCAGATAAATTCTCATTGTGTTCCTACCTACTGTTATAACAATGGTTATTTTAAATAACTTTAAATACTCGCGCAACTAATAAAAAGATTACCTCAGAGACCACTACTAAAGATACGTAAATATTGTCTCTGCAAATTGTCACGTAGGTACTTTTGGTTTTACTCGTAAGTTACTATTGCTGGCACTTAAGAACGTGAACGTAACTTAAAGTTAAATTATTTTAAACTAAAGCTTTAGTGCTTTACTGAGTCACGTACTCTCATAATGAAAATTTAGTATCGTGCAACCGTTGCACGGTACGCTTCATCTGAAGAAACCATAAAATTAGTTCGAAATGCGAACTGGGATATCTTTACGGTCTATACGCTTCAATCATCCATTTTTATATTCTACAATAGTACAATTTATAACAAACAGGGATCACGTTTAGGTAGGTATGTAATAATACTGCTGTGTATGAGTACTTATATTTTTTTTATTTCAATCCTTTTTAGGGTATAATCGACTGTGAAGATGAAAAAACAAAATTAATTACAAACTTTTTTATATCCCACGCTAGGTGTATTGCTATTTTAAACTTACTTGTTTTCACTCGTTATCGTAATTAACTTGCAACTCCATTCAATATCACGAATATAATATTCGTCATAATGTTATTGTACCTACTTAACAAAGCAATACTTACTTGTCAGAGCGATGAGTTCGGGAACGTCAAGCGGATAGTTTGAGTAAAATCGTTACGATGCTGGCAGTATAGCATAAATAAAAGAATATTAGTGAAGTGACATTAATCAGTATCTTTAGACACCAAACAGAACAGGAATAAACACTCATTTTGCAATATACCTTAACAGTAGTTTTCTTTTCTGTATGATTGAGTAGACTAATAAAAAATAGTCTACGAGATTTATTGCACTGAAACTGAGTTACATTTCATCATTTTCCTTCAAAATATTATTACTGTAACCGATGACTTCGTGTTTCATAGCTGATATAAATCACTCGGAAAATTGATTGTTAATCAATAAATTGGTCAGAACCCAGATCACAGGCCGGTGAATAAACTCGAAAACTAATTACGGAACGCAGTTTGCACACGCTATTAATAACTCTACACGAATGAATTAAGATGCATATTATTTATATTCAGTTTATCAGCTTAACCTAAATTAATTTTTGAGATTCTGTCAAGTGCTATAAAGGAGCACCACTTTAAAGATTACAACTTGCTCAGTTAAATTTTATGCAATATCTGTTAACTAACATTAATGGATACCAAAATTTATTTGAGAAAATAAATGTGTCTATTTTTTTGCAAGCAAATGAGCTGCATTTTACTCGTGTTCAATAATAGTTACACAATCTTCTACAGAAGTCATCCAAGTATATTTGGTAAGATAGTAGGTAACATTGTATTGACTTACAATTGTAAAAATGTAAAAATATATTTGCACATTTTAAATTGTCTACTGTTTCGACCAAGTTGCAAGCGATCAGCCGTCGAGTCGTTAAAGTAGGAGTTCATC